AAAATGATCAAATTATGGAATAGTATCATTGATGTAACATTCAGGTAAAATTTTGGTGAAGATCATCCAACAACAATTGCAGCAGTACATTGACAGGGAGCTGCCAGAAGTTCAGGCCAGATTCAGAAGAGGACGTGGAACAAGATATATTGTTGCTCATATCAGAGGGATCTTAGCTGAAAACAGAGAATACCAGAAATATGTTTACTTGACTATGTGGATCATAATACACTCTGAATAGCCTTGAGAAGAATGGAAATTCCAGAGCATTTCATTGTGCTGGTATAGAACTTGCAGATGAATCAAGGTACATTTGTGGGAACAGAACTAGAGAATACTGCATGGTTTAATCTGTGTGCTGAGCAAATAATCAGAGAAGTTATAATAGGATATAGATGATAAACAAGTAAACAAATAAGCAAAATCATTGCAATCAGTGGCTAACAGAGAAGTTAGAATATATTGCCTTCCTCCAATCCTAATGCCACATTTTTCTTCATATAATCTAACTCACAATATACTGATGATACTTGAGATATGCAGATAACACAATTTTGCTTTCTAAAAGTGAGAACTTGAAGGAAGCATTTGCTGGTGAAAATCAAGGTTTGACAGCCTTCACTATTCATTGCAACTCAGTGTTCACAAAATCCTCACAAGTGGGCCAATAGGTAACATCATGATAAATGAAGTTGTCAGGGGTTTAGTCTTGCTGGGATACACAATCAATGTTCATGGAAGGAGCAGTCAAGAAATCAAATAACACATTTCATTGGGTAAATTTGATGTACAAAACCTCTTTAAAATACTGAAAAGCAAACAAGTTAATTTGAGGACTAAGATGCCCCTGACCAAAGCCATGGTATTTTCAATCATTGTAATTTCGATGCCTCATATGCATGTGAAAGTTGGACCAAGAAGAATCAATGCATTTAAATGATGGTCCTGGAGAAGAATATTGAAAGTACTATGGACTGGCAAAAGAACAATTCTCTTTAGAGATAAGGATGATGACACTTTGTCTCACATACTTTGGAAATGTTCTCAGGAGAGTCCAATCCCTGGAGAAGGACATCAGGTTTCGTAAAGAAAATTATAAAATACAAAACTCATTGCTGTTGAGTTGATGAAGAATCATAGTGACCCTAAAAAGACAGGGCAGAACTTCCCCTGTGAATTTCCAAAGCGTTAACTCTTTACCAGAATAGAAAGCCCAGTCTTTCTCCTGAAGAGCAGATGGTGGTTTTGACCTTTGGACCTTGCAGACCATAGTCCAGTGTGTAACCACTATGCCACCTGGGCTCCTTGCCTGGTAAAGTAGATGGCTAGTGAAAATGAGGAAAATCCTGGAGAAGATGGGTTGATACAGTAGCTGCAATAATGGGCTCAAATAAAATAACAATTGTGAGAATGACCCAAGACTAGGTTTGTCTTGGTTTTTGCAATCCCGAGAGGGCCATGTGGGGTCCACTCTGGCAGGAACATGAAGGGGCAGAGTCCAAACTGCCTCTCATCCCAAGTGTGAGAAATTCATCACTGTACAAATGAATTGATACAAAAACAATATTGTAAAAGTGCTTTTGCCAGCTGAAGATTAGGACTCGCTCACCTAGGCCCTTCTGCTGCCCCTGGGTCTCTTGAAACAGGGGCTGGCTGGAGTTCAATGAGCTGGCAAAAGTCCTGGCTTTTTTGCCTTGAGAGAGGACCCTAGCATCAGCCTGCCCTGAGGTGAGGCAACATCTGGAGAGATAGAAGAAATTCACTGCCTGGGGCCCAAGTCCAGACTTGGGTTCCTGTGGTGAAAACAATAGCTCTGGCACTGATTTTTAGATGATCTTGATTAAAGGTTAGATTGTCTCTCTTTACAGTAAAATAATGCCATTTTGTGAAATCACTTTGCTTTTCTTTATCTAGTGATTTATTTGTCATAAGGCTGAAGTGTTGGTAAGATGCACAAGACAGATTTGAGATTTTACACTAATGTGGGTCACTTTCTCCTTATCAGAAACAATAGAACTCCAGAGTAAATCACATGCATAACTGGGTCCACAGCACACTGAAGTCAATGCATGGTTGTTTTAATCTTTGAAAAAAATTTAATTTGGAATAACTCAAAGATTAAAATTGACCAGAAATGTCTTCATTTATATAGAGTCTTCCCATTGAATTTAAATAAAAAATAAAATCTACACTTTCTTTAGTGGCCCACAACACCATATATGCTATTGCCTGGATATTCCTCTAACCTTCTCTCTTACCTCATACTATTTTTAGCCACATTGATCTTTTTTACTGTTTTTTTAACAAGATGAGCTTGTTTATGTCTCAGAGACTGTTCCCCTTGCTATCCATTCACCTGAATCCCTAGTTTTTCACCTGATTATTCACCAGATCTCAACTCAAATTCCACTTCCTAAGAGAGGTCTTCCTTAATTATGCTATTTAAAATAGCCTCTCCTTCCCCAACTAGTCATTCTGGATTACATCACCTTGTTTCTGCCTATCCTAGATAGTTCTCCACTGATTGCAATGATTTAGCTTATTTATTTGTTTATCATCTATATCCTATTATAAGAATTAACATGCTTCTATGAACAGGTCACATAAATCCCACATTATGAATTGGATTCTGTCCCCCACTCTGTGTGCTACAATCCTAACCTCTGGTGGTACAATGGTTAAGCACTCAGCTGAAAGACAAAAGGTTGAGGTTTCAAACCCACCCAGTAGCTTGGTGGGGAAAAGCCTGGCTATCTGCTTCCCAGGACCAATAGGCAACATCATTATAAATGGAGAAAAGATAAAGTTGTGAAGAATTTCCTTTCTTGGATCCACAATCAATATTCATGGAAGCAGCAGTTAAGAAATCAAATGAAGCATTGCATCAGGTACATCTGCTGCACAAGACCTCTTTAAAGTGCTGAAACGCAGGCAAGTTACTTTGGGAACTAATGTGCACCTGGCCCAAGCCATGATATTTTCAATTGCCTCACCTTCATGTGAAAGTTGGACATTGAATAAAGAAGGCCAAGGAAGAATCGGTACATTTGAATTATGGTTCTGGTGAAGAATATTGAAAATACTATGGACTGCCGAAAGGACATAAAAATCTGTCTTGAAAGAAGTACAGCTCCTTGGGGGACAGACAACAGAAAAGTGGGTAAGGGAGACGTTGGACAGGGCAAGATATGACAAAATAATAATTTATAAAGTATCAAGGGCTCATGAGGGAGGGGGCCAGGGGGAGGGAGGGGGAAAATGAGGATCCAATGCCGGGAGCTTAAGTGGAGAGGAACTGTTTTGAGAATGATGAGGACAATGAATGTACAAATGCGCTTTACACAATTGATGTGGGTACGGAATGTGATAAGAGTTGTATGAGCCCCTAATAAAATGATTAAAAAAAAAAAAGAAAGAAGTACAGCCAGACTGCTCCTTAGAGATAAGAATGATGAGACTTTGTATCACATACTTTGGACATGTTGCCAGGAAAGACAAGTCCCTGGAGAAGGACCTCAAGCTTGGTAAAATAGAGGGGCAGTGAAAAAGTGGAAGAGTCTCAAGTACTCCATCAATGAAGAGCACTTTGTTCTATTAACCTGGCATTCCATAATGCTCACCTTCCTGACACAATCGCTGATGACAATGCGGGTGCATAAGCAAATGTGATGAAGAAAGTTGATGGGGCCCGGCTATCAAAAGTTTTAGCATCTGGGGTCTTAAAGGCTTAAAGATAAACAAGTGGCCATCTAGCTGAGAAGCAACAAAGTCCACATGGAAGAAATATACTAGCTTGCATGATCATGAGGTGTCGCTAGATCAGGTATCAGGCATCAAAGAACAAAAAGTCATATTATGTGAATGAGGGGGGAGTGCGGAGTGGAGACCCAAAGCCCATCTGTAGGCAACTGGACATTCCCTTACAGAAGGATCTCAGGGAGGAGACGAGCCAGTCAATGTGCCTTATAGCACCAATGAAACATACAACTTTCCTCTAGTTCTTTAATGCTTCCCACCTCTCTACATCTACTATCATGACCCCAATTCTACCTTACAAATCCAGCTAGACCAGAGCATGCACACAGGTACAGATAAGAGCTTGAAACACAGGGAATCCAGGACAGATAAACCCCTCAGGACCAATATTGAGAGTAGTGATACCAGGAGGGGAAGGGGAAGGTGGGGGAAGAAAAGGGGAACCAATCACAGTCATCTACATATTACCCCCTCCATGGGGGATGGACAACAGAAAAGTGGGCGAGGGAGACATCGGTCAGTGTAAGACATGAAAACATAATAATTTATAAATTGTCAAGGGTCCATGAGAGAGGGAGGAAGTGGGAGGGAGGGGGGAAATGAGGAAGTAATACCAAGGGCTCAAGGAAAAAGCAAATGTTTTGAGAACGATGATGGCAACAAATGTACAAATGTACTTGACACAATGGATGGATGGATGGATGGATGGTGCTAAGAGTGTATGAGCCCCCAATAAAAAATTTTTTTTTAAACAAAACTATAGTGTCCTGAAACCTATACTGTGAGTAATCGGGAAGGGAAGGGCGGTCTCTTCTTTGGGTGTGTTTCCTCAGTATCTTGTACGTTGTAGAGAGCCGAGAGATGGGTCACTCATTCAACCGACCACGGTAGTACCTACAGGAGACCTATTAGCTAGGAACAGAAATTCCTAGCTTTCCATAATTAGGCTCACATTGCCATCATTTTCAGCTGAGGCAAGTAAAGAAAATGTTGGAGGCATCAGGATCCACCACACTACCAGGTCAGCGATAAAACAACAAACAAAAGTGATCACCTGCCGGATACAAGTACGTAATTGCGACAGGTGAAATCTTTGACTTTACCGCATGCATCCGTCGCACAGGGCGCGTTCACTTCCGGTATCGCCCCGGAACCTCTTGGTGAACTGCGTACGTTTCCGGGGGGGCGCTTTGAGAACGGGACCGCTTCCTGCTGCTGGGAGGGGCGTGAGGGAGGAAATAGCTGCGAGGAGCGGCGTCTCGCCTGCGGTAGAGCCGGCGGCGAAGGAGAGGCGGAGGGGCTGCGGCAGAAAAGACAGTGTCTGAGCCGGTACGTGAGCTGCCTTGAGCAGCGGACGGTGTCCAGAGCCCGCTTTGCACGTCCGTGGTGCCAGGTGCCCGAGCTACTCACTGGGGACTGGGCCGAGCTTCGCCCGTTGCCCCTCAGACGGCGCCAAGAAGGGGTTGTTGGGGTGCGGGGGCCCAGCCGCCCGGGGCGCTCGACTGTGCATCCGCTGGCTGGCATCCCGCCCCTGAGCCTGGGGGAGGCACCGAGTTGCCATGCCTGAGGGTGCTGGGGTTCTGCACCCCGGGGAGCCTCCCAGGCGGTTGTTGGAATCGGGGAGAAGCTAGGGGCTCCGGTGCGTCCCGAGTAACCTAACGAGACCTTGCCAAGTGGGTGGCAGACTTTGTTTGGGGACCTGAGGGGAGCCCGACGTATAAGGAGAGACGCTGAACTCGTACTTTCTCTGCCCTGTTCTAGCTGCTCGAGTTTGTGAGCACAGTTTTTTTAATGGCACATTCCACCTCTCGCTCCTATGGCTTCTGTGCAAATTACCAACCTTCAGATCTGTTGGTAAACCAGTGTATTCCCTCTCCGATCTGTGCTTGTCATACTGCCGTGGGCAGAGAGCGGGCGTTTTGCAGAAATGCTGCCTGGGGAGGTCCAGCTTAAATGTCTCCAGCACTTTTTGAAGAGAGAAAAGAGACTCACCTAGCATGGCAGACTAGTATTGGTTCCCTCACCTCGACACACCGTTGTTTTAGAACTGAGAGTAAGAACAGACTCATCTTACAGGCATTAGATTCATTTATGATGTTGCATCTGGAAAAAGGCTTGTGATTAATTACCACCGAACGAAATGAGTGAAATTATTATATAGATTGTTACTGGAAAAATCAGAAATGGTGTTTAAGTTACTGCTTTTTTGTTGTCTTAGGTTCGGCTTTAGAGTGTGGTGAAGGGTACTTTTCATGGTGCATGGAAGGAAAGCCAATGCGCAGGTAGGCATTTAGGAAGAAAGCATTCGGTTTCACTGGCTGAAATTCAGCATGGAATTAGTCAGTGCTTACTTAAAAGGGGAAGGGGGGATTCTTATTAAAATTTGCATGGAACTAATGATCCTTGATTTAAAAGAATTTATTTTTAATAACCAGAAATTAATAGCGTTTTAATAGAGCAAAATACAAAACTTAAATTTCAAAAAAAAAAAAAAAGCTCTGACTTTTATGCAGTTCTTAGCATCTAAATCACCTTTCTTTTTGCATTTCTTTTTTTTTTCTATCAATCATTTTATTAGGGGCTCATACTACTCATCTTGTGTGTGTGTATGGTTGTGTTCTTTAATAATCATTAACTGTAATTTGATGTGGTGTTAGTTTATGATAGTCTTGGGTTTCCTACAGAATATTGAGGTTTCTGTTGCTATACAAGAACAATAATTATTCATAACACATAAATAATTGCATGTCTCATTATGGTTTGGGTTATTTCACTTATGTTCAATAATACGTTGGTTTTGTTCATTAAAATAGCTGCATTGCAGAGTAGATTGTTCAAGGATTCTTTTTAAAGTACTAGACATAATTTAGTCAATTGGAAAAGATAACAGTTTAAAATATAGACTAGTATTAGCCCTTTCAACACCATCATTTAGTAATGTTTTTTCTCTCCCTATTCTAACAAGCGAGACTAGAATCCTTATTGAATGAAATCCGTCAGTCCTATTCATTTCTTTTAAAATCCTACACCTTAAAACAAGGCTTCAATTGTAAACACCTTTTATATTTGCTGAACTGTGTATTTGGCATCAGGCATTAAACAGTTCTTCCCTTTTTAAAAGAATAAACATATCCTAGAGGAAATGTGATTTGTGATTTAGAGCCAGGAGAAACAATGTATATTGTTATAAATTCTGTTATTGGCTGATCTGGATCTATTCAAGGAGCCCTGGTGGTGCAACATTTCAGTGCTTGACTAACCAAAAGTTTGTTAGTTCGAAACCGCCAACTATTCTGCAGGAGCAAGATGTGTCAATCTGCTTCAGTTAAGATAACAGCCGTCACTGTAGATCAGCGACCCTGCCATTGGTTCATTGTTCTGTGAGAATGAGTGAGCCTGGTATAGGTGTTAACTCTTTTAAGGTTCTGCTAGGCAAAAGGGTTAACCACTTAGTCCTTGATCAGAAAAGTGATCACCCCACCGAAGCCCCAGGGACCATTGGTTCCTCCAGTCAAGCAGTGTTGGTCGACAGGACCAGGTTCGTTTTGGACAGGTGGGTATGAACTCTTCAAATGGACAGTATAGCCAGGAGGGGTAGTAGAAGGAACTAAACAAGCTCTTAAAAACATTAGTGAAAATCTGAGAGCTGCAGGCTCTGACTTCACCATTGTGGTCAAGACGGCTTTGTTCCTGGCTGATATAAACAACTTTGCAACGTTCAATGAAATCCACAAACAGTATTTCTTCTGCTACAAACAGAGTAGTTTTCCTGTGAGAGCTGCTTACCAGGTTGCTGCTTTGCCTAAAGGAGCCTGTGTTGAGATTGAAGCAATCGCTGTCCAAGGGTCACTCATCAGCATGACTGTAAATGGAACTGGAGTTGTGTAGCCGGAATTTTCAAAATATTTTAAAGTGAACCACTTTTTATAATTAATGCTTGAAGTGGAAGTTTGACCAAAATATCCAGTCTTTTTTTTTTTACTTCCCTGTAATGGGGAGGAATGGAACTTGAATTGAAGTTCAGTCAATTAATTCAGTTGCTGGTGTTATAAATCACATTTATTTACACACATCACTGAATATGAAAAAAGGTTTTACTCACTAAATAGATAAATAAAAGTGGGAATAATATGTAGAAAAAAATTAGTTATTCTACTGGGTATACAATAGAGCACACCTAATCCAATTAAGTCCTACTGAGATAGTTATGTGAAATGTGTTTAGTCCTCATGTCAGATCCATGATTCTGCATTTACTTGAGTAAAATGAAAAATATTCCAAGTTGAGTGACAGAAACAATAAAATAGACCAAGATTTCATAAAGATAATATTTTTCTAATGAAAATAAAATAAATGTGCAAGCTTCAGAAGAGTGGGAAAAAAAAAGAGTACAGTCTTGGAAACTCTATGCACAGGTCTACTCTGTTCTGTAAGGTCACTGTAAAGTAGAACGACTAGACCTGGTGGCATAGGAGCCCTGGTTGTTATGGGGTTATGTGGTGGACTGCTAACCACAGGTCTGTAGTTCAAAGCCACCAGCCACTCCCAGGAGAAAGACACAGTATTCCCATAAAGAGGTTACAGTTTCATAAACTCACAGGGGCAACTCTGCCCTGTAGGGTTGGTATGAGACTGAATCGTGAATTTGGGTTGAAAACCTGGAGGCATCGTGGATTATGTGTTGGACTGCTAGCTAACTATAAGGTCAGCAGTTCAAAACACAGGGCACTCTCTCGATCTTTTAACAAATTTGAATGGGGACTTCTATTGGTTGTTATAGCTTTCTTCATCACCATCACTTAGCCAAACCCTCCCCTGCTCACTCTTCTGTGGTTTGTTTGACTTTAACCTGCTGCCTGTGTTAAATCACCTTTCACTAGCTTTCACTTTTGGGGCTGTCGTGATTACTGCTGCAACCTGCAGCAGGCCTAGATAATAATGTTGGACATATACTCAGGTGTTATATGAGAAGCTTTGAATGAGAATTAAGTCTTTCTAATGAAGTCATTTTAATGCATGTTCCTTTCCTTTGAGCTCTTTCAACCTTATATGTCTTATATTTTCATCCCAGCCCTACTGTGTGATTTCTATGATTATTTAATAGCTGCAAAAATAATTTGTAGACAAGTAATGATTATTTTAAAATTATTTTTAGAAATTAGCAAAGCTATTCTAATGCTCAGTTATAAAGTATTATGACATTTATTAGCATATTTTTACTATGACTTTATTTAGCTAGCCATTAGAGGTACATGATGTGAAAAATTAAATATAACAAGGTTGTTATGGTTTGAACAGTGGCCCTCCTCTCCCCAAATATGTGTTGGAATTCCTAACCTCTGTTTCTCTAGGGTTATAATTCCACTGGGGAATGGATTGACTTTGTTATAGTAATGAGCCAAGATTGGTGTAGCAAGTGTCTTGAGTCTCTTTTGAGATATAAAAAAAACAAGCTAATCATCTAGCAAAGATGGGGTAAGAGAGATACTAAAACGTGACAATTTTCAAGAAACCAAAAAGGAGAAACTGAAGGGACAAGGTTGTTGCTCCACAGCCAATAGAGAGCAAAAGCCTGCCCCCTAGAGCCGGCACTCTGAATTTAGAAGCCAAGCCTCTGAAACTGAAAAAATAAATTTCTGTTTGTTAAAATCATTTACTTGTGCTATTTCTGTTATAGCAGCACTAGATAACAAAAATATAATTTGGTACTGGAAAAATGGGATGCTGCTCTATCAGATAATTTAAATGTGCAAAGGATTTTGGAATTGAGTGATGGGTAGAGGCTGGAAGGAAGTTTAATAGCAAAAGCCTAGATTGAGAAGACATAGTAAGAATTGTAGATGTCAAAGGCAATTCTTTGGAGCTTAGAAGGAAATAAGGGCTATAGTGCAAGTCTATCTTGTCTTAGACAAAACATATGTCACTAACCATAGAATATTGCTAGAAATGTGGGCATTAAATGTGCTTCTGCAAAGGCTTTTTTCTTTTCTTTTTAAAAATCATTTTATTGGGGGCTCATACAACTCTTATCACAGTCCATACATGCATACATTGTGTCAAGCACATTTGTGCATGTGTTGCCATCATCATTCTCAAAACATTTTCTTTTTACTTGAGCCCTTGGTATCAGCTCCTCATTTTTCCCCCTTCCTCCCCCAACCTCCCTCCCTCACAAACCCTTGATTATTTATAAATTATTATTTTTTCATGTCTTACACTATCTGATGTCTTCCTTCACCCATTTTTCTATTGTCCGTCCCTCAGGGAGGGGATTATATGTAGATCGTTGTGATCGGTTTCTCCTGTCTACCCCACCTTCCCTCTACCCTCCCAGTATCACTACCCTCATTATTGGTCCTGAGGGGTTTATCTGCCCTGGATTCCCTCTGTTTCCAGCTGTTATCTGTACCAGTGTATATCCTCTGGTCTAGCCAGATTTGTAAGGTAGAATTGGCATCATGATAGTGGGGGGAGGAAACAAAGAATTAGAGGAAAGTTCTAATTCTTGTATGTTTCATCAGTGCTATACAGCACCCTGACTGGCTCGTCTCCTCCCTGCTACCCTTCTGTAAGGGGATGTCCAGTTGCCTACAGATGGGCTTTGGGTCTGCACTCCACACTCCCCCTTATTCACAATGCTATGTTTTTTTGTTCTTTGATGCCTGATACCTGATCCCATCGACACCTCATGATCACACAGGCTAGTGTGCTTCTTCCATGTGGGCTTTGTTGCTTCTGAGCTAGATGGCCACTTGTTTATCTGCAAGCCTTTAAGACCCCAGACACTATATCTTTTGATAGCTGGGCACCATCATCTTTCAGTGCTCCATATTTGTTTATGTACCCACTTTGTCTTCAGCGATCGTGTCAGGAAGGTGAGCATCATGAAATGCCAGTTTATTAGAAAAAAAGTGTTCTTACATTGAGGAAGTACTTGAGTATAGACCCAGTGTCCATCTGCTACCTTAATACTAAACCTATAAATATATGCACATAGATCTATTTCCCCATTGTCATATATAAATATATTTACATATGCACATGCCTGTATTTAGACCTCTATAAGTTCCTTTTGCCTCTTGGTTCTTTCCTCTATTTTCTTTTACTTTCCTCTTGTCCCACTATCATGTTCAGCCTTCATTTGGGTTTCAGTAATTCCTCTTGGTTACATTGCCTTTGATCATGCCCTACCAAGTCTCCTACACCCTCCTTGCCATTGATTTTGGATCACTTGTTGTTCCCTTGTCCCTGGGTTTGTTAACACTCACTTCCTTTCCCCTGC